CACACACATATGCACAGAGTTGGGGGAAGTCAAAAGTAGAGACATTACTTTGCTGACAAAGGTCCAGATAGTCAAAGCAATGATTTTTCCAGTAGTCATGTATGGATGTGAGAGCTGGACCATGAAGATAGTCTGAGCGCTGAAGAACTGATGCTTTGGAACTGTGGTATTGGAGAAGACTCGAGAGTCCCCTGGACTGCAAGATCAAACCAGTCAATCCTAAAGGAAATCAACACTGAATATTCACTGGAAGGACTTATGCTGAAGCTGAAGCTCCAATACTTTGGCCACCTGGTGCAAAGAACTGACTCACTGGAAAAGACTGGCAAAGATTAAGGGCAGGAGAAGGGGATGACAGAGAATGAGATGGTTGGATGGCATCACCAACTTGATGGACATGAGTTTGAGCAAGCTCCGGGAGTTGGTGATGGACTAGAAAGTCTGGCATGCTGCAGTCCATGGAGTTGCAAAGAGTTGGACATGACTGAGCGACTCAACAACAGGGATGACCACTAGGTTACTGACCTTCAGCATTCAGCTGGACAGTGGTACCACTCATCATCAATGCAAAGGAGAAAACTCAGTAAACTATAAAGTACAATATGAGAAACTTTGCCTTCCCCTCTTGGCTGCACGTCCACTAAGGCTGAGACTGTGTGTTGCTCACTCTGTCATCCCCAGCAAAGTTGCCTGTGTGTGTGTGCTGTGTGTTCAGTTGTGTCTGATTCTTTGTAACTCCATGGACTGTAGACCACCAGGCTCCTCTGTCCATGGAATTTTCCATAAAATACTTTTTTCCTGATTGTGATTCAACTGATAAGACTTGTCTGCAAGTCAGTGGTGTGACTTAACACATTTTTCAAAACCTCACTCTGTAGCACTGATCAGAGGCAGAGCTGGCTGCACAGGAAATACTCAACAAATACTAGCTCACCAGCTAATTTTCACACAAACACCAGTCTGACTGGAAATACTTCCAACTGCTTGCTAAGCCATAATCCTCTAAAGGTATACTGGGCATGGCGAAATCTGTCCACAACTGAGGTAAAGATATTTGTTCTCAAATCTGTTCCTTCTCTTCTTGTCAACAGTCCAGCCATTATCTGAGTCACCCAGACCAAGAACCCTTGAGTCATCTTTGATTTCACCCTCTTGTCAACATGCAAACAGGTTTCAACAGCCCTATGTTTTATGCCTTCTATAGAGAGTCTCTCTCATATCAGTCCTCACCAAGCCCAATGACCCTTACCAAAGGACTCGTCATCAATTACTACAGCCTCTGTTCCAACCTCCCTCCCTCCCAAATCCATCCTCTACATTATAGCCTTTTTCACTCGCCTCAGACAATTCCAGTTATGTCACTACCTTGGCTGATACCTTTTAGTAGCCTCACCCCACGGCCCACAGAGTAAAATCTAAATACTTATTTAACCAATCCCTTCATAATCATGTCTGTCACATATTTTTCCAACCTCAGATCCTGCTATTTCTTCCACTGAGAATTGTGACCTCTTCCCAACCCATGTCCAAAAGAGGCCTATTTTCCAAAGCCTAGCCCAGAGAAGCCCAGCTTATCTCCTGCAGTACAGGCTTCCCCTGACACCCCAAACACCCACCCCACCACTTTTCTAAAACATCTCTTCCCAGCCTGAGTATCGTAAACATTTTTCACTTTCTATCCTACAATGCGATTTCTACCACACATACTCTTCACCTCCTTTTCTGGACTGCTGCATTCCCTGTGAAAAGGCTCTAGGTCTGGCTCTTCTTCTGTGCCTTTCCCACACCCCCACTCCATACTCATCCCACCCGCTACCCTACAGTGGCTTTCTTACTAGGTGGAGTTCAATAAATACCGTTAAGTCCCAGGCCTACTCAGATTTAACAAGAGCAACTGTGTGGCAGGTCAAAATGTCTGGCACTGTGGTAAAAGGGTTCTTGAGACACTTTCTTTTGAGATAGAGATGATCCCCCTTTCAAAGCTGAGTTAACTGAGACTGGGAGCATTCATTGGCTTGCCTGTGATCACAGCTTAGTAACACTAGGATTCAAACCCACGTCCACCTGCAGAGATTGAGCTCTTAAACACTGCGCGACTGCTAAGACTAAACTGGGCTGGGTGAAAAGTAAGTTAGGCAGCCCCCAGCAGCCTGATATTATTCAGAACACATTCATACCTGGACCAGGCAGCTTACCGGACAAGAGACTAAGGATATATCCAGACAACTTTTCATTTTTTAGATTTTATTTATTTATTCATTTTGGCCAAGGCACACAGCTTGTAGGATCTCAGTTCCTCAACGAGGAACTGAACCCTGACCCTCAGCAATGAAAGTGAGCAGTCCTAACCACCAGACCGCCAGGGAATTCCCAGCAACTCTTCTTGATGTCTGGCAAATGACGCCCCATAATTTATCCATTCCTTCAATCACAGGCATGATTCTAAGTTGGGAGATACAGCAGTGAACAAAACAGAAAAAGCCTCTGCTCTTGTGGGGGTTCATATTCCAGCAAGGGAATTAAAAGACAAACCAATCTAGGGACTATCTCTAAAGAGGTGAGAACTGAACAGACACCTGAGTGAATAAAAGTCGACTGGCTATGTGGAGAAACTGAGGAAGACTGTTTGAGGCCAAGGGAACTGCAGGACAAAGATACTGCAGTAGAAGCATGCTGGGAATGTACAAAGAATAGCAAGGATGTTAGTATGGCAAAGGCTTCGTGAATAAGTTAAGAAATAAGGTAACAGTGTTAACCAGCAGTCAGACTCTGTTGGGACCTGAAGGTCACTGGAAGGCTTTGGAATAAGATCGCTGAGACCCACAGAAGTGGGGAGGGCGTGTGGAAGGCAGGTGTACTGCAAAGAATGAGAGAGACATGATCTGATTTATGTTTTAAAGAGAACCCTGGAAACAGTAAAAATAGGCTGTGGGGAAGCAAAATGAGGGAGAAAAAGTAAAATCAAGACCAAGTTGGAGGGACTTTTCTCAGCGATGAAGGACACTTCAATTAGCAGGACAGCTTCAGGGAAGTAGAGTGGAAAATGAAATTAATTTTAGGACTTTACTTAAATATATACAGTCAAAGCAATATCCATGGATGGATGGAAGGAAAGAAGCTTGGTTTCCACACGAGTCCCACTAAGAAGTTACTGTATAAGTCAGTCTAGGCAGGTTGTATTTACTATTTCTAAGTGCCATTTCCCACAGGCTCACACACTTGCATCACCAAAGGAAAACCATTATCAGGGAGGTTCCCATAGAGTGTGCTTACAGAGCATCCAATTGTTACATGACATGGATTTTTTGCTATTTGCTTATATTTAAATGAGTATTTCTAAACAAGCATAGTCAGCTGGATAAATTCTGATTAAAGTACAAGCAGCATTAAATAAGTTAACACCCCTGCAAAACACTGTCCAGCTAATCTTTCCTCCTTGAACAAGCACCCTCAGTTTAATGAGGTAACTGGATTAAAATGATCCACTCAGAATCTTCCCAAAGTCTGCGACATTGTTTCCAAAAAGCTTAAATCAGAACAGAGAGGAGGAAACTGGAACACAGGAAAGACAATAAAAACTGTCAAGTCAGAACCTCCTGACTATGCCTACCTATCTGTACTCCCTTGCCAATTTAACCCTGAAAGGATGCTTTGTTTAAGGTGTGTTCTCCAGGAGCTGGATGTCTCTCAAGGTTACCCTAACACAAATCTCAAGGCACCTGCAGGATTACCAATCAGCATATTCAGCTAGTAGGAGCTCCTCAAGCTGGAATCAGATTGGCAGACACAGCAGGTGCTCAGGAAAACTGCTGAATGAAAAACCAGCTGCTCTCTACAACTTCAATCTCAGTAATGTACTCCCAAAACATTCAACTTCTCTAACCTGATGTAAAGGCGCTGGATAACCGTCACCCCACAGAAAGCTTTCCTGAACCTTTCCACTCCAACTCACTGCTCTGGGCAACAAGCTCCACTTTGCTGGCTGCCTGTTGTGTTAAAACAATATTAAACAACATTCTGTGATTTATTCAAAAACTAGCTTCAGGGGATGCCTTAGCTTTCTTTCTATTCCTATTAATCCTCCTCTGTTTTCAAACAATATTTATCTGATGTTTCCCCCACAGCGGGTATAGCTTGGTAGAAAGAGCAGACCAACAGTGGGTACACTGGTCCTGGGTATCTCTAGAACTCTGGCCTCAATTCCTTTATCTATAAAGTGCAAATGACACCCATGTCAGGCCTCCTTCACAAGGCTGCTGCCAAGTCTAATCAAACGAGAAAAGCCTGCAAGCTGTCAGGTGCTGCCCAGAGAGAAGATTCAAGTAAAGATGGGTTCAGACGAAGCTTAGCTCAAAATCAATAGGCGAGGCGGGAGCACCAGCCTATTGCATCCATACGCAATCATCATTTCGTCGAAGAAGCAGTATTTTCCTCCAATAATGGGGTGAACATAAGAAGCACACTAGCCAGGCCCGACAGCATCACTTTAGGGTCCCTGGCAGGTAACTCCCATCTCTGGGTCTCCTTTCCCCCCAACCTGTACAAGGCTTTGACAGTGAAGGATTCTAATACTGCTACGTTAAGGCAGACAGAATGGGAGAGGCCAAACTGCCTTTACCTTCAGTGTCATAAAGAAAGCGCCAGAAAGCAGAAAGCAGGTAAGGATAGGACTGAGAGGCAAAGAAGCCGAGGTCTAGTTTAGCATATCTTTTAGGAGCAGTGTGACCTTGGCCAACTACTCTACCTAGCAAACCCCCTCCTCCTGTCCACATCTCTAAACCTGGGGAAAGAACCCCAACCGACCCGAATCCCCCGGGGCTGCTGGGAAGCCCAGAGCCTACAGCGACCGCCCCTCTGGCGCGTCGGCCAGTGACAGCCCTGGCTCACCCCACCCTCACCCAGGGAAGAGTCCCAGGCTCTTCCGCAGGCAAGGGATGTACCCCTTCCGGATGCGGGACCTGCCAGGACAGCAGTTTCGATTTCCTAAGGAGAAGTGTTACTTCCCCCGCCGTCCCAGCGCCGCTGGTAATCAAAGGAGCCTCCCCGGCGGCCCTCGGGATCCCAGCAGCTGCACTCAGTCCCGGCACGCGACCTAGCGACCGGCGACCCCGTATCGGTCCCCTGGGGTCTAGGACGCCGGGAGGGGCGTTGCCATGGGAATAGTGCTCGGGACCCCCGCCAGAGACGCTCGGCAGAGGCTGGACAGGAAGGCTCGCGAGACCCGCTGTGCCCCATGCGACCATGCCCGGTCGTTCCTTCTCAGGGCTGCTTGGCCCAGCCAGCAGCGGCCCCACAGCTCCGCGCCTTCCCGCGCGGCTCCACAAAAACCCTACCTTCCGCCATGTCGGGCCCGGCCCTGCCTCAGCCTCGCGAGATGTGCACCGCTCAACTGGAGCGGCGCGTAACGGAGGCCCTCGAGTCTCGCGAGAGTCATGGAGGCCAGACAGAGGGAGGAGTCGAGACGAGGTAAGAGCAGTGAATGAAAGTAGAGGGGGGTAGTTGCATATCCGAGGAACTGAAATTCTGGCTCTCTGCTCCTAGTGCTTTCGAGGCTCTGGACTTATCACATCCTGACTGGGCTCTATCATATTCCACGCCCTAGGGAGGGGACTGAAAAGGATGAGCGCAGCGAGCATTGACTACCTTTTGGGAAAATACAGCCGTGAGAGGGTCGAGAAAGGGGTCTTCTTTGGTTTTAGGTTTGTTTGTAAAGATGTGAGAGAGTGAAGTCGCTTAGTCGTGTCCAACTCTTTGCGACCCCACGGACTAAAACCTATCAGGCTTCTCTGACCATGGCATTTTCCAGTCAAGAATACTGGAGTGGGTTGCCATTTCCTTCTCCAGGGGATATTCCCAACCCAGAGATCGAACTCAGGTCTCCTGCACTGCAGGCAGATGCTTTACCATCTGAGCCACCAGGGAAGCCCATAAAGATGTGAGAGGCTGAGAAAAGAACCAAAGGAGACGGAAAGGCTAGTGAAGTTCAAGGTCCTCGGCGAGGCAGGATGCCCTGCAGGAATTTACGGGAAGTGATGAACTGTAGATTTCGGGCAAGTCACTGTTTTCTACTAAGACATTAGGATACAAGAATGTGCTTGCGGATACATATGAAAGAGGGAAGAGATAAGGAGATTGCTTGATGACATCAATTTTATGGTTGAAGTTCTTACACAAGGGAACCAAAAAAGAGTGAAGAAAAAGAAGTTGGAAGGCCTGGTTTCAGGCCTTTCAGAACTCGAGACACCTGTCTGCAGAAGCAGAGAATAAGGGGGGAAGGGGGTTGGATTTGAAGATAAATTTTAGGTGCTGCTTAGGTTAAGCATTACTGGGTGTGAGATGGAATGGAGAAGGAACTTGGAATCAATAGTCATAGGGTTAAATTTTTGAGGAAGGAGGAGGAATTCTGGATGAGGGACACCAAGGCAATGAAAGGGGAGAGGGTATTGAAATGTGTTAAGAACAGTGGTGTGCTCAGGGAAATGGTGTTCCCGTTGTGACAAGAGACTGAAGATGTGACAAGAGACTGAAGACATGGGAGGAGGAATGGACAGGGAGGTATGTAGAGCTGCATTGAGTAAGCAGCCCTTAGACTAAGAAGGGCAGGGGAGTACTTGCCAGGCCCAAGAGAGGGGGCCATAGCTCAGTGCTTCCATGTCAAGAATGGTGAGCCCTTTGGGACATTAGGGTAGCGAGGCAGAGGCAGCCTCATCTGTTATCCTAAGAGTGCCCTCCAAATATATTCTAGGTCATAACATAAAAGTGGTCAGGAAGTAATGCCATAGCTGATGGCTGGGTTTGTATCATACGACTTATTTTTGCCCCTTCACCAGCACTAGCCTAGTGTCTGGCATATAGCGGGTGCTCAGAATATTTGATGAGCTGTTGCTGTGAGCTATACCAGGAGTCAGGAGAACTGGGTTCAGAGTTGGCTTTGCTGCTGATTTGTAGTGTTGATCGTGGGCAAATCTCTGCAAGGTCTAGGCCATTTCATCAGATTCTCCATCGATTTTAAGAGGGAATTTGACTAGAGTGATCATGACCTCCTTTTAGAATCTGATGAAAAGCAGGGATCCTCTGCTTTAGAGTAGTACACATGTAGGAGTAAACAAATTTTGCTTGGACTAGATGCCCACAGTCAAACAAGAACTCATCTTAAGGGATTTAATCAACTCAAGGGCTTTACCACCTTATCACAGCCTAACTTCAAGAAACCCTCTAACAGAAGTGAAAGCACTCTTAGTGATGTCTGTAATATTAATACAGCCCTGTCTCTGGGCCCTTGTCTTCTGAGTAGACTTACTGGCATAAAAACTCTGGACTTAATACATCCTGTGAAACTAAACATCTGGAGTACTCATTGAATTACACCCTACAGGCTTGGATGGAGCTACATTAGATGGGATCTAATATATAAACATTTTGAGAATTCTGAGCACTGGAACATGGTTCATTTTAGACCTAATTCACATCTTGTTGTCTGATATAGAGGAACGTTGTGTGGAGTTGTCTCCGACAGGGAGCATGAAGTGCAGGAATAGTTAAATGCTGCCTGCCTTAAGAGCATAGGGGAACAGACTGTTTCTGGGGAGGCAGTGTCATTTTATGGTAGAACGGGAGAGAGGCAATCACTAGGCTGGTAGTCCCATGAATTGGGTTCAAGTACTGGCCTCAACACATTAATTCTCTATATGACCTTGGAAAAACTGTTCCTGAGCTAAGAGGTAAAGCACCCGGTAAGGGAGTTCGTGAAACTGAATCCCGGCCATGAAACTTACTTGCTCCAGTCTCGATAAATTAATCTGAACCTGTTTATGCCTGTGGATCCTTCTAAGAATTTGACTAGACCCTTTACAAAAAGAAAATCTAGCACAAGCCTGCCACAAAGTGAAGGCTCAGTGAATAGGAACTTGACTTCTGGTGCTTGTTCGGAATAAGGGGAGGGCACCATGCTACTACAGTTCCTCACACGCACAGTACTATTATAGTTGTTCCTAATGGAGACTGCAGCTCCTGTGTCCAAGACGTATCTGGCTGCCTTTTGTGAAAGCCTTTCCCTTCACCTTCAGTTTATTTCACTTATGTGAACAGGATTCAAACTCCTTAATCGTTTCAGTGCAGCCCAGTGGGGTGTGCAGACTCAGTGGAACAAAAAGCCTTGTCCTACCTCGGCATCCAGGTGACACCATCTGAAACTTAGCAACCAAAATTTCCTTATCCTGGAAATACTTAGCTGTGAGAACTGAATCCTGTTGAGGTTTGCAGTCCTCCAGAAAATGAAAATGTTTAATTTGGTGAAGTGTTACCAACTCTAGAGAGAGGTGGAAAATCAGCGGGTCCTTCCTCATAGCCTAGGTAGGGCCTTGCACACAGTAGGCACAGTCAAGAACTGGTTCATTTGCATTGGACATGGCATCCAAATAAAACTTTTTTGCTATATACCTTGGATAGATCATTATGCTTAAAACTGACATTTAAAGTTTAGAAACATCATCTAGACCTTTCTGTAACAGTTTTATTTCTAATATATTTTTCAGAAAAATTAAAACTGAAAAATGAGCCACCATTTTCCCCAAACTGCCCTCAAGGAGGATTTTCTTCTTGTGATTAAGAGATCTGGTTCTGTGTTCTTTTCTGAGTTTGTAAAGAAGAGGCCTTAAAACCACTGGCAACTTCCATCAAGAGAGACAAATTTTCAACACCTCCAAACCCATACAACTATATTTAAGGATGCAGGGTAAAAAGCTGAATAGTCACATCCTGAATCCTGTTGGAGTTTGCAACCCTTCAGAAAAAAATTTTAATTTGGAAAAATTACGGGGAAAAAAGTACACATCTCTTGCCTCATTTACCACTAACTTACTGATCCTGAGCAGGTATCTGGGTCAAGTTTGCCCATCTGTTTAGAGAAGGGAAGGCGGTGACTGAGATGGTGCCTCTGGGTCTCTTCCAGTTCACTCATATCTGAGTCTGGGTTCTTTACCTTTTAGCTTATCTTCATGGTAGAGTTTAAGCTACAGACAAAAACCCCAATAATGCTCTAATAGGTGCTCATTTTATTTTACATAAGGTTCTAAATCAGCATGCATGAAATTCTGATGAAGAATGGTGGCTGGCCCCATACTGGAAATTTTAAGACCATTATATGAGATTGGAAGTCAAGTGAACTCCCTACCCTCTGGTTCCTTCTTTAAATGAAGTTTTAAAAAGTATTTATCAGGATTCCCCAGTGGACCCTTTGGTATCATGTGCTGTTTATATAGAAAGAATACCATAACTTTGGAGACCTGCATCCTAAAACCAAAACAGCTCATGATACAGCCTCTAAGTCATCATTTATTGATTCATAGTGCACCCATCACATGATCCAGGTGCTTTACAATACAGTAAACATCACAACAGAACTCTCATATAAATACAATCAACAAATTACAGAAAAAAAAAAAAACTGGAATGAAGCAACATTAGGTCAAATTTCAAAGATGCTAAGAAGTGGCAGTACACAAAAGGTAATTCCACCAACTGGAGACCAGATGGGCAAAGATACACAGGCATGACAATCCCAAATGGGCAGATTTATAGAGGGTGAATGAGCATATAAAATAAAGTTTTACAACCAAGAATGAAGGCTATTAAAGATACTATGACACCCGAGTGATCACAGAACTAGTCGAAAAACCTCACAAAGATATTACCTTGTAATGACAAGGAAACCAACCTCGTTTGGATTTTAAGCTCACCAAGAGGCCAGAAGGCCATGGCAATCGTCCATCTCATTATGAGCCCAGACGAAATCGATAAGCCTTTACAAGAAATTGGAGTAAATTTAGGAAACAGCCAACAGTTCTACAATCCATAAGACTATACAGGTGGTGTTGATAGTTGGCACGTGGTCAGGGAGAAAAATCCTTTCCCTAAAGCAGAGGACTCACCTCACACAAATGAGGAGGCATTGCTGGGACAAAAGCCACTGGAATCAGTGTCACCTGAGTGTGGTTTAATATCAAATGTAGAGCCATTTAGATTCACACTGTCAGATGAACACTGGGAAAGGCACAGATGACACCTTTGACAGAGGAAGCTGAAACATCTCTCGAGGCTTATGTTTCCATATGTAGCACAGTCAGGGCACCAGATGGTAAAGGGCATCAAGAGGTTTGCTCATTTCTGGCTCTCCAACTCCCCAAGGTCTAGTCCTAAAAAACACATGATTACACCAAAGTAACTGCATTAAAGTGGCACTTAAGAGTTCAAGAATAGTTGTCCCTGAGTTACTTGGTCCTTTGCTCCTCCCTGAAGAGTCAAATCCCAGGTTTTAACTCAAGAGATTGCTAGGAGAATTATAGCCACAGGAGAGCAAAATTCAGACTAAAAAAAAAAAAAAAAATTCAGACTCCATCTTGCCACGAACCACCATCACGCGGACAATTTAAGAATAAAAAGGATGTCATTCGAAGTCCCAGGTAGGTATGCAGTACTGGTACTTTGGGGAAACAGTGCTGAGAGTCTTTGAAAAAGTAAAGTCACAAGTGAAGTTCTTGGAGAAAACTGGCTGCAATGACTCAAAACAGTTTCACATTAAGCCATCACATATTACAGGCTTTTTTGTTTGTTTTTTAATGCTTCAGAGTGAAAAAGAGGCTGAGATTTAGAAAAATCACTCTCTACTCTGACTACATCCTCAATTATTTCACTTTAGAAAAGACACGCGAAGTTTGTAAAGGACTGGCTACTGGCAGGAGTCCTTTCATTCTGTCAAAACATTTCTCCAAACCCCACAAAGCAGAGATGCACCAGTTCTCACTGATTCTCACAGTTAAACACCATGTCTCATGAGGTACTGTCTCAGGTTTTGCCCCTTCTATGCCAAACACTGTCCCAGTCCTAACTTCACACCAAACACAGAGAAACCTGGGCCCACCTTTAACACTGCACATGCTTATATTACCACTTCCTGAAACTGTTTTAGAAAACTTATAGTATGAAATATACTTATGCTCAAACAGTTAAGAAAAACCCAAGTGGACTGTGTCAGTGACAGAATCAGTATGTCAAATAGCAAAGCATTTATAGCCCTGTAATGCTTTGAGATTCATATAAGAATCCATAGAGAGCCCAATACACATACTGCCATGGCCGTGTGGTTTTCAAGTATTAAGTTTGTTTGCATAAGGAATCAACCTGAGATTTTTCTAAACTGCACTTCTCTGACACTCATTATTATAACCTTCATTCAATACAATAAAAGCCAACAACTTGACCAATTATTGGAAAAAAATTATATTTTGGAAGAACTCACTACATAAGGTGACAGAATTCCAAAATCAAATTACATGAAAATATACATCGCAATTTCTTTGTACAATAGGTGAGAAAATTCTGCAGTATTAGAATAGAGGCAAAGAAATATGAAGGGCTAACGGGAAGGGTACGAGGGTAAACAGCATTTTTAATAGCAAACCCAGAAGTTAAGTAGAAAGCCTGTAGCTGTGCATGCTTTATTCATCCAACCTTCACATTAGGTAACTGAGGGCAAAAATAAAACCAAATCAGAGTTTTGTGTTGTTGGGCGTAAATTTCAATCATTTTAAAGCTGAATTGAATTCAGAACTAAATCTTTCTAGTTCCTAGGGATAATGACTGAATTCAAGAGCTCTCAACGACAAAAAAAAAAAAAAAAAATGTTATTGCTGTATCCAATCTGAGAGATGGGTGCAGGTACAATACAAAAGGGACAAAGCACCTAGTGATGACCGCTCCTCTGAAGTCATCATTAAAAATCAAGTAGTTGCTTATTGAGTACTTCGGTATTTGAACTAAATGATTTGAAAACTTCCTGGCAGACAGAAGAGATAAAAGTAAAGGGGAGTGTGTCAAAACAAAGAAGATACAAAAGTTTAGTAAGTGGAAAGAGTTTAATGAAGCCTCAATGGTTTAAAGGAAATTAAATGGAAACTTTTAATCCTAATTGCTTTTTATCTGACATGCTTTAAGGAGTCTTTTAAAACTGATAAGAAATAATGAATAGGGAAAGAAAACCTGCTAAAATTTTTTAGAATTTACACGATTCTTACTCTACTACAAGAAAGCATTATTTGGTACAGGTGTATTTGTGGATGTACATGAACAGTATATATATTATCCGGATCATGTTGTGCTATGTACAGGTCTTTACAATTCTTCCTGAAGGTTAAAACAGTTCATTAGAATTCAAAATGCGTAATCATCTGTAAGTTGGCACTTGTTAGGCTCTTGTCAGCATTGATACTGGCATGTTTTATTGCAGCCCAGTTCCAGCCAGTGTTTGCCAACTTGTTACAACAGAAGTCCAGCAATAGGTGGGTAGAGTGCAGGAAAAAACAGTGCCATGTTTCTCAATTGGAGACCTACAAGAAAGCAAACAGCATTATATAATGAATTTTTAAATTACACAAGGATTACTTGATTAGCAATTTTTATTTGTATTCAACTTCTTGGGAAACAAATTCTTCATTTCACGTTAAGCTCACTTTTGCCCATGTCCAATATGGTAGCCACATCCAACCATTTCATTTTAAATTCAAATGATAGTTTAAAAAGTTTTAAATTTAGTTCCTCAGTCACACTACCCACATATCAAGTGCTCAGTATGTCTAGTGACTACCATACTGGATACTGCAAATATAGATTATATCCACCAGTGAAGAAAGTTCTATCATACAGACTTAACTTAGAGACTTCTCTAAGTTCAGCCCAAACCTACTTTATCCATCCAGCCTCCAACAAATGATCTCTCCCAATTAGAGTTTTCTATTGTTTTGTATCTGCTGATCTCATGTCTTCAATTAGACTAGAAGAACCACAGCTAAATAAAAACACCTGTCACCTTATGGAGTGCTTATTATGTGCCAAGCAGTATATAAAGTGCCTTAAAAACTCATCTCATGTAATGCTCATATTGACCATATAAAGGGGTTTCCCCCATTTTACAGAGAAAAGAAAGACAAGGTCACTGAGCTAATAGATGGCAGAGTTTCCTGTTCAAAAGGTTAACAAAACACTTGTTTCAGTTAAAAAAAAAAAATCCAGTGAAATGATTAAGACTTTTAGAGATTTTATTATATGAATGTGTCCTCTGAAATATGTAAGGGGAGCACAAGAAAGGGGAAAGGGAGAAAAATGCCTATTACTGTTACATCAGATCAAGCGCTTCAGAAATTTGGGAGTCTGTATCACCAGCCAAGCCATTGTTGGTCACAAAGAAGACTCATACATAAGGACTGGAAATCCAAGGGATATAATTTTAAACTCCTAACAAAGAAGCCAAATGTACTTATTAGAGCCAGCATGACAAATATTTAACTTACACCAGATATGTGGAAAGTTCAATGTGTCTTCTAAATACCCAAATGAAGTTATCAGTATTACAGTCACCCAATTGAACCATAGCGAAGGCTCTGCAGCGGGCAGGAAGAAAGCTGGGGGCTTATCTACAGCCACACACGTGCCCGTTGCTAGAGTCTAGACTGCCTCCTAAGACAGCTCCTGAGGAGTAGAGTGGCTGCTCAGTCCCTCCCCAGGGGGCTCGTACCAGCCAATGTAAGTGATCCCCAGCAAGCTCTGAACCCACCAAACCTTTCACCAGCGCCAGGTTCTATGCTTTGCACACACATACACATATATGCACATATTTTATTAGGAAATCGAAAGGTACAGACTGACCCTCAAGAAAAATTGTAATGAATAGGACTGTAATTTCCAGGTTATATTACTTAAAATGTTTTCCCAAAGACTATATACCACACTCAAATTAATCCCTGGCCAGTTAACTTCTCAGGGCTGAAAAAGAACTGGGTACAGAGTTTAGGCATTCAGTAATCACTCTCTTATGATGTGAACAGAAACTTCAGGGCCACAAAATACTCATTTAAAAACTGTTTCCAGGTGAGGTTTTAAAGAAACAGACTCCAGGGAAGACTGACTACAGAAAGTCATTAATTACCTAAAATCAGACATTCAAGCCTTTTTTTAGTGAGGCACCAGCTTTAAATAGCTTTAGCTTCTTCAGCAGGAAGAGAAAAAAAAAATCTATTTCCCCTCCTTTGAATAAAATATATTCTAAACAGAAAAAAAGCCTTGGTACAGCAAAAGCAAGTTTGCTGTTCTTTTCTCTAGAAAGAAAAATTCTAGAAGCTGAATTTACCTAATACTCAAATAAATGGTGTTGATCTAAAATAGTCATTTTACATTTATAAGCATTTATAAATCCCATTTCTGGTTTAAAATAAATCTGTGTGGTATTATTAAAAATCACACCATTTTTATATCAACTTTATGTCTTTATGAAATAAGTATCTGTTTTTTTGCCTTAAACCTAAGTCTTAACTATTCTGGATTCCTAACCTACAAATCTGGAGATGGTTTAGCTTCAAAGTGTCTTATTCCATTTATTTCTAAAACTAGAATCATATCATTAATTTTCCATGTGGCTACACATTTTAATCTTTTAAAAGGCCTAAAAAATAAAAAGCAGACAAGCATGCTTTAAAAAAAACACACACAAAAAAACACTTTTTGATGTTAAAAGGCAATAATCAAAGTAATTTCTCACTCAAGGGTAAGTGTCCCAATAATCTCAACCATTCTTAAGTGAAAGCAGTCCATAAGTTAAATAGCTTTATATCAGGGCATTACCTTTCACACAGATGATTCCAAAAGTTCCACTTCATTCTACACTGCCAAGTGTGGTGTCACTAAACAATTCTCCCCCATCACCAGTCCATCCTTCTCCCCCAAACTGAACTATTTTTATTCTTTTCCTTATGTCATCCACTTTGGACCATTCACACACATTTCTTTCTGAAGTCTGAAATAGCTCACTCCCCTAGCTCTTCTCCTGGTGACCAACCAGTCCACATATTTCTGTCCCCAGAGTCTGAAGGATGCTGTCCTTGGCCCTAGTAGTACTGCTGTCTATACCAAATGAATGGACATCTCTACTCTGGAGACTTCTAGGCTCACTCACAGCCCTACTTTAACCCCTGTCCTAACCATTCAGTATTAGGCATGTGCTGACTTTCTTACAGTCACGCTCTGCTACTACTCCCACTAAAGCTCTCCATGTGGTTTAACATTCCTGTGCCTGGTCTAACTGGCCAGGTGAACAGTTCTTTATTGGCCTGGATGATATCTATGGTACTCTAGAGAGCCCCTTCTTCCCCAAGAGAACAGAGCCTTTGGAAATATTCACTAACAAGAAATGAAATGAGCTCAGGGTGTGCTGTTCTTGGTGTTACCTCTCATTCCAAGATTTAAATCTTAAACCTTAATAACATGCAACTGTTAAAAGGGAAGCAGATATACATTACTGACATTTGATATTAATAAAATATCAAAAGACAACATTAAACGGGAAGCACAGAGTGGACACTATGTATACACTTGCGTTACAGACAAAGACAAATAAAACCACACTTGTATGTACATGGGTGTTGGGGGAGCGGGGGTTAGATTTCTGAAAGATTAAACAATGGCTACTTCTGAGAACTGGTGGGCTGAGATGGGAAAGAGGGTTTACTTTTCCTTACATATAGCTGCAGCTCTAAAGGTAGCAGTCAGATTCAGAGGAAACTGAGAGACAGCCATGATATTTATGGGTAAGAGAAGATGTTTCTAGAAGGGAGATCAATAGTCAATTCAGTTCAAATGCTACAAAAATTAAAAACCAAAACTAAGGGACTTTCCTAGAGGTCCAATGGTTAAGACTTTATGCTTCCACTGCAGGGGACACAGGTTCAATTCTTGGTTGGGGAAGTAAACCCCTCATGCCACAGCCAACAAACAACCACCCACAAATAAAAACCTCATCAAAACTGAAATTAAGCCTTTGAATGTGGCAAACAGGCAGCCCCTGGTCTCCTTACTACTTTAGTATTCTATGGAGAAGGAAGGTGAGCCAAATATGCTGGAAGACTGACAGTTAAGAAAAAACAAGGCAAAGTCCTTTTGTTTCCCAGGTCCCTCTCTTCCTCCCTAAAGTACCACTGCAAAATTTAAGAATTTTATGTATTTCTTCTAATCCTTTCTTTTTAAAATACTTTTACTCTGTCAGCTACAACAGAATGGTGGGTTTTACTTTATAATATTAAATGGTAACATTCTTTTTTTATCACATTGCTTCTCCTATTCAAGACTGTTAACTATGTGATTACATATAACTAAGTCTACATTATATATTTTCATTGATTAACATATTGTAACTGATATTAATAATAACTGATTAATTCTGATGGGCCTTTTGAAAATTACACACAGTACTAAAAGCAATATCCTTGTAGCCTGTCTCTCTGTATACATGTGCTACAGTTTCTCTTAACCTATACACCTAAATTGCAGGATATGTGTTTTCAAACTGACTAGATATCATCAAATCACTCTCCAGTGTTAACAGAACAACCTCACTTATGCCAGGAGTTCAAGTATATACCATTTCCTGAAATCCTCACCAACACCTGGGTTTCTTGGACATTTTGATTTTGACAACCTGATGAATTTGATGTCATCCCCTGCAGCTTTGTATTTCTGCTTCTAAATGCAGTTGAATTACTTGTGGCATGCATAACAACTATCAGCTTTCTTTTTGCTTCTATTATTTATTCATATCATTTTCCTTTGTGCTGATATTCTCATTATATCAAAATTTTCAAAATTTTGTTGTAGACAGTAGATAGAAATCCTAAATATTAGATTAGAGAAATCTTTTCCCAGTTTGCCACTTATATTTCTTTTGTCATGTCATAATATTTAAGTTTTGATGTAGCCAAATTTATCATTTTTCCCTTTTATGGGTGCCTAAAATTTGCCTAAAAATTGTGCCTAAAAATTATTGTGCCTAAAAATTACTTCTTTACCTTGATATTTTCCTGTATTTTGTTCTAGTAGTTTTGTTTTTCTTATCTGTCTTATGTTTTAAAACTTACTGGAGATAGCTTAGCCTCCTCCCTTTCTCAGTCCACAAGACCACTACAGATCACCTGTACCAGTGGCAGTGAGATGGGTGTGACCTGAAGCCCACTGAGGAGAGTTTTCACTTTTCTTCATAATCTTATTGTAGCAAAGGAGATAAGAAAGGCTCAGCATTTCAGGAGCCTTAAGTTTTAAGGAGATATGGGTGAGATGTGGAGGCCAATCCTTAAATGATTCGAATATGAAACCCGTCAAGGGTGTGGTCCTACTGAGATAACCACATACTTAGAATGTGGTCTCAAATAAGCAGGGGAGAAAAGACACACTGCTGCTTAGGACAGACAGAAGCCATATGCAGAACCACATGTACCTCTACTTGTGAGCAATGACTCTAGACTCACATGAACACATATGCAACTAGCTAAGTCAGTGAGTCTTCTGTCCTACTCTCTTGGGTATCGTTCAGTTCAGCTCAATTGCTCAGTTGTGTCCGACTCTTTGAGACCCCATGGACTGCAGCACGCCAGGCCTCCCTGTCCATCACCAACTCCTGGAGGTTACTCAAACTCATGTCCATTGAGTTGGTGATGCCATGCAACCATCTCATCCTCTGTCACCCCCTTCTCCTCCCGCCTTCAATCTTTCCCAGCATCAGGGTCTTTTCAAATGAGTCAGTTTTTCGCATCAGGTGGCCAAAGTATTGGAGCTTCAGATTCAGCATCAGTCCTTTCAATGAATATTCAGGACCGATTTCCTTGAGGATGGACTGGTTGGATCTCCTTGCAGTCCAAGGGACTCTCAAGAGTCTTCCCCAACACCACAGTTCAAAAGCATCAATTCTGTGGTGCTCAGTTTTCTTTATAGTCCAACTCTCACATCCATACATGATTACTGGAAAAACCATAGCCTTGACTAAATGGACCTTTGTTGGCAAAGTAATGTCTCTGCTTTTTAATATGCTGTCTAGGTTAGTAATAACTTTTCTTCCAAGGAGCAAGCGTCTTTTAATTTCATGGCTGCAGTCACCATCTGCAGTGATTTTGGAGCCCAAGAAAATAAAGTCTGTCACTGTTTCCACTGTTTCCCTATCTATTTGCCATGAAGTGATGGGACCGGATGCCATGATCTTCATTTTCTGAATGTTGAGCTTTAAGCCAACGTTTTCACTCTCCTCTTTCACTTTCATCAAGAGGCTCTTTAGTTCTTCGCTTTCTGCCATAAGGGTGGTGTCATCTGCATATCTGAGGTTATTGCTATTTCTCCCAGCAATCTTGATTCCAGCTTGTGCTTCCTCCAGCCCAGTGTTTCTCATGATGTACTCTGCATATAAGTTAAATAGGCAGGATGACAATATGCAGCCTTGACGTACTCCTTTCCCAATTTGGAACCAGTCTGTTGTTCCATGTCCAGTTCTAACTGTTGCTTCTTGACCTGCATACAGATTTCTCAGGAGGCAGGTCAGGTGGTCTGGTATTCCCATCTCTTGAAGAATTTTCCACAGTTTGTTGTGAGCCACACAGTCAAAGGCTTTGGCACAGTCAATAAAGCAGAAGTAAATGTTTTTCTGGGACTCTCTTGCTTTTTCAATGATCCAATGGATGTTGGCAATTTGATCTCTGGTTCCTCTGCCTTTTCTAAATCCAGGTTGAACATCTGGAAATTCATGGTTCACATACTGTTGAAGCCTGGCTTGGAGAATTTTGAACATTACTTTACTAGCGTGTGAGATGAGTGCAACTGTGCAATAGTTTGTACATTCTTTGGGACTGGAATGAAAACTGACATTTTCCAGTCCTGTGGCCACTGCTGAGTTTTCCAAATTTGCTGGCATATCGAGTGCAGTACTTCCACAGCATCATCTTTTAGGATTTGAAATAACTCAACTGGAATTCCATCACATCCACTAGCTTTATTCATAATAATGCTTCCTCAGGCCCACTTGACTTTGCATTCCAGGATGTCTGGCTCTAAGTGAGTGATCGCATCATGGTTATCTGGGTCATGAAGATCTTTTTTGTGTAGTTTTTCTGTGTATTCTTGCTACCTCTTAGTATCTTCTGCTTCTGTTAGGGCCATGCCATTTCTGTCCTTTACTGAGCCTATCTTTGCATGAAATATTCCCTTGGTTTCTCTAATTTTCTTGAAGAGATCTCTAGTCTTTCCCATTCTATTGTTTTCCTCTTATTTCTTTGCACTGTTCACTGAGGAAGGCGTTCTTATCTCTCCTTGCTACTCTTTAGAACTCTCCATTCAAATGAGTATATCTTTCCTTTTCTCCTTTGCCTTTTGCTTCTCTTCTTTTCTCAGCTATTTGTAAGGCCTCCTCAGACAACCATTTTGCCTTTTTGTATTTCTTTTTCTTAGAGATGGTCTTGATCACTGCCTCCTGTACAATGTCACAAACCTCCGTCCATATTTCTTCGGGTACTCTATCAGATCTAATCCCTTGAATCTATTTGTCACTTCCACTGTGTAATCGTAAGGGATTTGATTTAGGTCATACCTGAATGGCCTAGTGGTTTTCCTAGCTTTTCCTAGGTTTTCACTAGGTTTCCTAGTGGTTTTCCCTACCTTCTTCAATTTAAGTCTGAATTTGGCAATAAGGAGTTCATGATTTGAGCCACAGTCAACTCTTGGTCTGGTTTTTGCTGACCGTATAGAGTTCGCCATCTTTGTATACAAAGAATATAATCCATCTGATTTCAGTACTAACCATCTGTCTGGTGATGTCCATGTGTAGAGTCTTCTCTTATGCTGTTGGAAGAGGGTGTTTACCATGACCAGTGCATTCTCTTGACAAAACTCTATTAGCCTTTATCCTGCTTCATTCTGTACTCCAAGGTCAAATTTGCCTGTTACTCCAGGTATTTCTTGACTTCCTAGTTTTGCATTCTAGTCCCCAATAACGAAAAGAACATCTTTTTGGGGTGTTAGTTCTAGAAGTTCTTATAGGTCTTCAAAGAACTGTTCAGCTTCTTCAGCGTTACTGTCTTGGTTACACAATGCCTTCCGTCCTGGTCAGGTTGCCTAGGAAATAGATTCTGAGACAGGTATTTGTGTAAGGTTTACTGGGAAGTGCTTTGAAGAGCAACAGTGAGGGAAACAGATCTAAGCAGAAGATGATGGGGCTAGCACAGCTGAAATACAGGCTTCAGTCAATCCCACACTGGAATGGCCTTTCAGATAATTCCCAAATTGAGAAAAAAGCCCAAGTCTTTGTACCAACCCATTCTTTCTCCAAACCAAACAGTCCATGGATGCAAGTGGCTTCTGGGGAAAGGGACTAACTTGGGCAAGTGATCTCTTTACTCCTAGAAAGCAACTCAGCTATGAGTTATCAGCAGGCAACATTCCCAACAGGCTGGAATATGATTATTTCCCTCTGGACAGGAGGCAGTAACATCCACCACACCCAGAGCTTATCTTCTCTTACCATCTTATTTTTTCCCTGGTGAGGTCAACCAATGTTGTGAGCTGACCTACGAAGAGGCCCATGTGACAAAACTTAGGAAGAACCCAGTCAACAGCCTGTGAGGAACAGAAACCTGCCGACAGCCACATGACTGAACTTGGAAGCAGATCCACCCACAGCTGAACCCTGAGATAGATGGCTGCAGTGCCAACCAACACCTTGACTGCAGCGTTATGACGAACCCAGAGCTAGAAGATTCAACATGGATCCCTGGCCTGTGGAAAGCATGAGATAATAGATGTTGTTTTAGGTCATTGAATGTTAGGTAATTTGTAAAATAGCAAGGGAATTAATACAGTCCCTCTACCCTTGATACAGAACCAAAAGACAAAATCCTTTTGCCTGGTGGTATAGAATGTGGCCATGTAGCTGATCTATGGGAGAGGGAAGATTTTGTTTCTCCCTTTGTCCTCTTACTTCATCCTACAATAATAACTTTCTAGTGGCAGGGAAGAATCTAAGACACAAAAAGTAAAATCCATATAGGAAAAAATTAAAACTCAACTGCATTAAAATTAAGCACCTCTGTTCACCCAAAGATACTATAAAGAAAGTAAACTGATAAGGATAGAAACCAACAACCTAACTGAAAAATAGGAAAGACGAAAAAAAGCACTTCACAGAGGAAGTATCAATGGTCAAACACATTACAGTATGCAACTGCATTGGTAACTAGGGCAACATACATCAAGTCTATAATGACATCTCATTTGACACTAGATCAAAAACTTTGGGAAAGGACCTCCCTGGTGGTCCAGTGGTTAATCTACCTTCCAATTCAAGGAACACAGGTTTGATCCCTGGTTACAGGAAGATCCCACATGCCGCAGGACAACTGAGCCTGCACACTACAACTAGAGAAAGCCCATCCACCACAGTGAAGACCCAAAAGAAAAAACTTTAGGAAAACAAACAAGACTTTGCAGAAGTCTGATAATATCAAATGTTAAAGAGGATATGGAGCAAATAGAACTCTTGTCCTTGCCAACAAGAGTATAAATAGATCCAATATTCTTTAAAACAATTTGGCATTATCTAGTCAAAGTGATGTGTATATACCTTTAACTTAATTCTACCCCTAGGTATACACCCAAGAGAAACTCTTGCAGTACCTCTATAAGAAGCAAGGATAGCTACATTCTCTGTAATAGCAAAAACAAAGTGAAATAAGGAAATTCCCTGGTGGTCCAGTGGTTAAGACTCAGTGCTTTCACTGCCCTAGGCCCAGGTTCAATCCCTGATTAGGGAACTAAGATCCTAGGAATCAGGCAGTACAGCCAAAAATAAGAAACAGCCTACCCCAAATAAAAAGAAAACAAAAACAGAAACAAGAATAAGCAAAAACAACAATAACAAAAAACAAACAAAAAACCCCACTCCAGAGAAATAATGAAATGAGAATCAAGAGTAAATTTATCTAATGAAATATTACATAACAGTGAACATGGAATATAACTGTATATAACAAAGGACAATTTCAACAATATAATGTTGAGCAACAAAGTCACAAAAGAATATGATCAAAAAAAGACATTATAGTTCCACATATATTCAACTCAAAAACATGCAATATGTTGTTTAGGAATACAAATTGATGAAATTGTGAAGAAAAGCAATGATAAACACAGAACTGGGAATATGAAAGAAGTATGGATAGAGGAGGGGAATGTAGGAGATGTAGCAGTTAATAATACAGCTCTTTTTCTTACAATAGGTGGCTGGTACAAAGATATAGCATGTACTGTCACTTTTTTAGATGCTACGTTTCATAAGTAGGTTTTATCACCTCAATATTTAATTTAAAGAAAGAAAAACCAGAGAACTTAAATATCACACATTTGGTCAATTTATCTACACCCTGTCTTCTTCTAAGCCAGATGGGTGCCTACTATCTTTGGCTCCTTGATAGACTTAAAGCAGATTTGTGGACAGATGGTATACAAAGAAAAGGAAAAATTTTCCTACTGGCCCTGTAAGTAATGAGCAAGGAGATAAAGACCAATTAAAACAAGAAAGGCAGATGTTTAATGGTCTTATCAATATATTACAAACTATGGTCTTTCTTTTTTAAAAAAACTAGGAAAAACTTAAATCAATCTTTACCATATATAGCACAGTATAATATAAGAAATTTTAATGCCTAGTTTAGTCAAAGATGGCAGACCAAAAGGTAAAACAAAGAAAATGTAGCAAAAACAAAAAAAAAACCCTTTATAATCAGAAATTTTACCGACAGTGAACTACTACCATACTAAATCAGTTTAACAAGGAATATCTAGTTAAAAACAGCTGGATTTACTAAAGGAAAAAGCAAGCAGATGACACTAATCTGCTGAGAAACAGCAGACTACTGGATACTACCACTGAAAAATGAATCCAATGAAAACAAGCAATTCAAATACCCAAGATCACACATTTTCTAAAAACACTTACGTCATGTATAAAAAAGGCAAGAGTAGGATGATTTTTTTAAATGAACTTACCCTGAAATAAGTGAAGTTACAGCTGTTGAATAAATGTCACTCAAAAGCAGTCTCTTGGCTTTTTCTTACACAGCGGGCAACTTTCCTTTTGAATTCTCCATTTCTGTCTTCCCTCCATTCTTTCTGTAAATACAAAAGTAATATCAAGTGATTTTATGCAAACTCCTCTCACAATCTCAAATACCTTACTTTTTTAATGTAATGCTTCGGCAATGTGAACAGGTATAAAATGTTCAACAGTTGATAAGGTAGAAAACATTTTTGCAAGGCACTCTGCCAGGATACATACAAATTACTTCTATAGGCACAGTCTCTTTGAAAAAGGAAAGGACCCTAAAAAACTTTAGCAATTTTGTATTACACTGGAAAGAAAGCTACAACTTACAAATAAGATATCCAGGCTGTCTGAATGATCACCAACTCTACTGGAAGCAACCATAAAATAAAGTAGACAGAACTGTGCCTCCTATATCAGGTAGATGGGTGTAATGCAGCATACTGAGATGATACTGAGTAGTATTTCCAGTGGGGGAGGGGACAGGACAGGACAGTAACAATGACACTATTACTGCCAGGCACATGAAAATGGAACACAAAACAGGACCAGCATACTTTCACATGAGGATAGAGCTGATTTTTATTTAGTATGTAAATAGCAGGAAATTCTCACTAAAATGCCTGGCCTAATTTTTTTTTTTTTCCTGTACCATCCATGTAGGGACAGCAAAGACTGGAAACCTTCAACACTTGCTCGTGCAGAGGAAGAGATCTGAACAAATTTTTTCCCTCAAAGCAAGGCACCCCAGTAAGCCAATCATTACAGTAAATTATGAGGTAAACTATAATGTGGAAATGCAGAGAGATTTGTAGATATTTGATGAAGTATTTGTGAATAAAATGTTATTGTCTGTAATTACCTCATCATTTCTAAGACATTTTAAGGAAGAAAGAGCGATTCCAGTAAACAGGGAAGGTTAATACCAAGGAGAAGAAAAATCACCTAAAAAGCACACTTAGCAGAGACAAGACTGAGAGCAAGGGAGATCAGGTAGAAAGGTATTAAAGAGATTATATTGGAATATTTATTATTTGAGTGCACCATGCAGCATGTGGGATCGTAGTTCTAGAACCTGTGCTCCCTGCATCAGGAGCATGAAATCTTAACCATTGGGGCCATCAGGGAAGTCCCTGGAATTTCTTTTTTAAGATATAAATCCTCACTACCAAAGAAAATGGCAGTGAAGTCATCTAATAATGGGGACTGGAAGACCAAAAATAGATGAAAGATGAAACAATGAAACATGCAGCAGAGCAGAGAAAGTAGTAGCCTAGGGAAGTCTCAGTGGGACCCCAGCAAAGAGGGAAAGGACCTACTGAAGAGAACCTCAAAGTTAAAGTTTGGAAATGGCAGCTTGAAGTCAGTAAAAAGTGGGGTTGAAAACTGAATGACAGAAAGTTTGGCCTTTCCTTCTACACACACCCAAAATTTTAATACCTTCCTAAAGTAATAATGATGATATATAGATTTTATAAAAGTATCTGAAGACCATTAGAATTAGAGCTCCAGGTATGGGTATTTGGTATGGAAAGTAATTAGTTCTTCATTTTGGCATTTGACACCTCTCTTCCTCCAACTCACTCTTACTTTTTTTTTTCCCACTCTGAGTTTAATATCTGGCTTATCATTCACACACTCCTGAGGAGAACCAATTCTGCACACATACACTCCTTATATTGTTTGGACTGATACTTGACTAAGTATAAAGTTAGAATGATTTTCTGTCAGTGTTTACTTCAATTCAATTACTAAATTAAAAAATTCAAAGCCAGAGATTTGAAAGGTGGTTATATCACTTCTTGGCCTTTTGGCGAAGATCAAATGAAAGGTGGTTATCTATGTAGTGTTTTTCTACAAGTAAGATTTTACCCTCAAGTTTTTATGTACATTTGAATTTACAAGAAAAAAAAAAAAAAAAGGTGAATTTAACCTGCTGGCTTTCACATATCCTAACAATGTTTCCAAGAATTAGAGCAAAAGGAATTTTAAAGAGGGATAGATGACTGAGGAACTAGGACTATTCTAGATTTAAAAAAAGACAAAACATTAATACAGGACTTTCCTAGTGGTTAAGACTCCATGCTTCCACTGCAGGGCCACAAGTTCAATCCCTGATCAGGAAACTAAGATCCCATATGCCACATGGTGAAGGCAAAAAAAAACAGAAACAAAAATAATTTTTTTAAAAGGAAAAGAAAGAAGATTGAAAAATAAAAAACTGAGTAAAAATAAATAAATAAAACATGAATACAAAATAAAATAAGTTCCTAAATTCTGGATTCTCCCTTGCCCCCTGACCCCTCTCTTTATTCTTAGGAGATACATGCTGAAGTATTTAAATATAAAGATCTGTAAAGTCTACTCAGTTTAGCAAATAATAATAATGACAATAATGTTAATAATAACAACAATGTTGCAAAATCTCCACAATTGTGAATCTATGTGTTCAGTTCAGTTGCTCAGTCGTGTCCGACTTTTTGTGACCCCATGAATCGCAGCATGCAGGCCTTGCTGTCCATCACCAACTCCTGGAGTTTATTCAAACTCATGTCCATCGAGTCAGTGATGCCATCCAGCCATCTCATGCTCTGTCGTCCCCTTCTCCTCCTGCCCCTAATCCCTCCCAGCATCAGGGTCTTTTCCAATGAGTCAACTCTTCACATGAGGTGGCCAAAGTATTGGAGTTTCAACTTCAGCATCAGTCCTTCCAATGAATACCCAGGACTGATCTTTAGGATGGACTGGCTGGATCTTCTTGCAGTCCAAGGGACTCTCAAGAGTCTTCTCCAACACCACAGTTCAAAAGCATCAATTCTTTGGCGCTCAGCTTTCTTCACAGTCCAACTCTCACATACATACATGACCATTGGTAAAACCATAGCCTTGACCAGACGGACCTTTGTTGGCAAAGTAATGTCTCTGCTTTTTAATATGATATCTAGGTTGGTCATCACTTTCCTTCCAAGGAGTAAGCGTCTTTTAATTTCATGGCTGCAATCACCACCTGCAATGATGCTGGAGTCCAAAAAAATAAAGTCTGACACTGTTTCCACTGTTTCCCCATCTATTTCCCATGAAGTGATGGGACCAGATGCCACAATCTATGTATAGGGTATAGGGTAATCCAACGTTTTGTAGGTATGAAAGTTTTAAAAATAAATGCTTGCAAGTAATATGGACCTTATAGTGACTAGATATTAAGTATAATAATAGTTTTACAATTATGTAGGATAGCATCCTTATTCTTAAAAGGTACAACTATTTGGTGGTAAAATAAGATTTATGAGAAAAATAAATGAATAAAATAAACAGACATATCAATACACATCCACAAACACATACATATACATATAAAAGTATATAGTTTTAATCAAGCTTAATTAAAGGGGAGAGCAGATGTGTCCACGTGACCACCTTACCGCAGCATCAACATTAGCAGGTGAGTCTCCATTGGGGTCTGCCAGCATAGAAATGACACTAATCATGATGGTTTCCACGGTGTGAATAGGCAGCCAGCGTTCCTCTGGCTTTTCATAACCATATTTATCTTCTCCAGGTTCGTGAAGAATAGAAATGCATACATCACCATTTTTATCAACTGCAAAATTAGAGAGTAAGATTCCAGTTTTAAATGCTTTAAAAAATTGGCTATACATAAAATACATATTATTTGATATGATCCTGATTCCCATGGTATCTGTATAAGATTCAGTACCACTGTTCCACTGAATATATACAGAAGTTAATTTCCAAAATGGAACCTATTAACCTTTTAGGAAGACCGGAGATTCTACCAAATAGAATCCACCTGACAAACCCAAAAGAAATGTAAGCTATCTTTTACATTTCTGCAAAATTCCAAGTTAATATGTATATAGTACCTAGCATTTACATGTAATAAATATAATGAAATAAATGGTATCTATTGAATCTGTTCATTTATACAAAGTATATGGTCCAAACATCAGAACTGAGTTTCTGTATGATTTCCTAGTTTCCCTAACAACTTACTGATTGAAATTGTTGATAGTCAAAGGTCTAAGACTTTCGTAAGAAAAAAATAAAAAGTAACATCATAAAGTACTTTTTAAATCATATAAAGGCAAAATTATATCTTCAGGGAAAACACACACACAAATCCACCACAAATCCACACAGTGAAGTGTCGAACTCTTTGCAACCCCATGAACTGCAGCCTGCCAGGCTCCTCTATCCATGGGATTTTCCAGGCAAGAGTACTGGAGTAGGTTGCCGTTTCCTTCTCCAAAAAGATCATTTTATAGTGCCAGTGAAAACTCATCAGCATACATTCATTAGGTCTCTAATCTATAAACCTATTTTAAAATCCAAGCCATAAATTAATTGTTGATCAAAAGGGGGAATGGGGTCCTATTCCACTAACTTCTTTACATTACACAACAAATCTGCAAATCCTATAAATAACCAATAACAATACTTATGTTCATTTCTGACTTCCTACCTAAAGTCCAACAAATTTATGATAGGTATAATGTTAAAGAGTATTTTTCACCTCTGGGGAACCAGCATCAAAGCTTGTATGCATTGTGGCTCTACGACTAATGCTTTCTGAGTGCATGTTGTATGCCAGGCACCCACTTGACACAGGGAGTTTAGCAGTGAATGCAACATTTAAGACCCATGCCTTCAGTGTATTGTACATGAACTGTTCTACAATTAACACTCCTTATCCCAACTCACCTACACCTTCTAATATAATCTAATAACTAAAATGAAATAACTAGATCAAGAAGCAAGAATAACAACAGTAAAACTTGTAACAGCACTATAAAGTTGAACAGAAAATGATAATATAGTGTTAAGATATTTTCCTCACCACATAATATAAATTTTTCCTTGAGAAAAGGAAGTCATGTTTTTGAGAACATTTAATATCAAATGTTTGTACAAAATTCTATCAGAGAGAATTGATTTAAGATCCATTTTCCTTTTATAGAAATTGCTATAATTTAGCATCTTTAAAATTTTAACCTCATGTCATTTCATTTTAAACATATAGAAAACATTTTAAACCTCTTAGAATGAGGCTTTTATGCTTAATACCTATTACCTATTAAAACTGTAGTAATTTTTTTAAAAAGGCAAGATATCTGAGTGAAATAATTGAGCTGATAATTGAGTGAAAAGGCCAGTGCTATCATTCCTCTTAATAATTCAAGTCCATGTACTGCTTTCACATATGCTCTCATGTAACTCACAAAGAAACTAAAGCTCCAAGAGGCTTTACCAACAGTAACATGGGCTAATTCATGCAAGAGACAGCATTCAGAAACTTTTTGTTACATTTTCCTTTCAAACAGGTGCAAAAAAATTGACTATTACACACTGAATAATTCAAGAGAAGGCACGGGAAACTGCCAAGAGCCTAGGAAGAAATGAACCATATGTCCAAGCAACAAGGGGCAGATGTGGTCGATTCATGCATCCATATATTGTGCAGGACTATCACTAACGTGTTCTACCAGAAAGAAATTCTTTTTTTCCCTTCATACTGGTGCAAAAAATAACTATGTCTTCTGTGATCACTGCTACCTAAGATGTGATGAAATATGGTGGCCTCCTTGATTCCCAATAGTTTTCCATTCATTAGTTATATTCTCTTCTAAGACTCAACTGTTTTCAGGTCACTGAGTTCTATTACATTTCCTTGTAACCAAGCCTTGGTTTATTCATGCATCCATTACTCTCACTGATTTTTGCTTAAACTAATATAGAAGAGTTTCTCTTCCTTGCAACACAATGTCTGGGTTATGAGAAGTAGAATGCAGACTGGTTTAACAGTCTAAAAAGACAACTGATTACAAAATACTTAAAGTCAAAATACTTAGGAAAGAAATTCTTGCAAGCTCAATCATACAAAACAAGGCCAAAAGTTCAGGGAGACTGTGTATAAACATAGTTTATCTAGACTAACCTTTGGCTCACAAAGTGAATTTTAAATGGTTGTACAACTTCGGGTTAAAAAAAAGTCACTGCCACCATTTTATGCACAGCACTGTTAGATACTTTCCAAAGATCTAAACACGCAGAGTTTTATCTCATTTGACCCTATCAATCATCTTATGATGTAGGTAAGACATTCCTTTTTCTTATGAAAAACAAAATAGTTAAGAGTATCCATAGTCTAGGAACTAAGATGAGAAAATAAAAATGAAAAATCCAAGTTTAACTACTTCTGTGTTCTCTGTAATAGCCAATGAATCACATAATACCTTGGAAATAATGTCAATTTTAAGAGCTCTATTAATGCTCAGTATCACCCATGAACTCATGAACATCTCAGCTGTGAACATCATAGCTGAGAACTAAGTAAATAAACAAACTTTTTCCATTTGATCCGTTACTCTTTCTTTTAGAAGGAATCTAATCCAAGACCATGTACATAACAAACACAACGAACCTAGTATAAAAATTCCAACACAATTTCACTGAGAACAACATCTTACTTATTGACCTTGAAAACTTTGGTGACAGGCCATCATACTTGCAAATGTAAAAGTAAAACTAGATAAACTTACCATTTGGATGCCAGATTTCTGTAATGAATTTCATTTTAGGAGGCCGAAGGGGATAATCTTTTGGGAAAGTGAGATGAGCTTTAAAAACACCACCTTCACTGGAAAAACAAAAACAAGTTCTTGCCTATAAGTTCCTGCTTATAAGTAAGATAATTATTAAAAACAAACATAAAACAAGGATGCTAGTGCTAACATTATATATGAAATAAATAATCTGGATTTCAAGCAGTTTACTTACTCAAATACCAAGTTTAGTATAAACTGTCATACCTACCACCTTATTAAACTCTCAAAATACAGTAAAATGAAAGGAGCAGCTTTAAAAAGGCATCCAGATCAGATCACGCTACTGTTGTGCTACACACATCTTTTTATTGCTTCCCACTGCACTTAAAACTCAAATGTTCTTTAACATTGCCTATCAGGGTCAAGTTGTCAATTTCTCTATATTGATCTCAACCTATCACTCTTCTCTCTCATCCCAGTCATTCTTCTTTCTGTTCTTTAAATGCAATAAGCTTTTTCTCATCTGAGAGCTTATGCATTTTCTTATTGCCTCTCTGGGAACAGTTGTGCTGACCTCCAACCATCCATCCATCCATTTATTCATCTTATCATTTAACAAGTATTTATTCAGTCTTTACGTGCCAGACACTGGGAGTACAGCAGTGAACAAAGCATAATCTCTCAAGGAGTTTATATTCTGGTGTGTTTCAAAGTAGTGCTGCGCAATAGAACTCTCTGCACACTGGAGACAGTCTATAGTTACGTTCTCCAACATGGTAGCCACCAACCACTTATAATAAGGCTAGAACTTTTTGGCCAACCCAATACAACTGATGAACTGAATTTTTAATCTTGTTTAATTCTAACAGCCACAAGTGACTAGTGACTGCTGTGCTTAGGAACTGTTCCTAAACAACCGTCAAAACAACACAAGTCAATGTTGCAGAAAGCCAATGAAAAAAGTCAGCCTTATGGGGCAAAAATGACAAAGTTCCTGACTAGTGACCTTGGTACCGCGTTTCCTCTGTTTCAAAGGCGCTTCTCCCTTTGTTATATTCAGAACTCAGGGAAATGTTACCTCTTGAGAAAGATTCTACTTGGCTACCCAATCTTAACTAGCCCCTGTGTCCCTCTATCACATGGACTTCTTTTCCATTTCTTTACTGCAAAAGGAATTCACACCTCTGATTCTTTTATTATAAGATATATACCCCCATGGAGCAGGGTCATCTGACTGTGTTTGTTTCAGATCAGTAAATAACAGAATTCTCAGCTCATTAAATGATTTTCATTCTTTAAACAAACAGATATTGATTATCTGCCTAGAGAAGGCACTGCTGTACACAAACGAATATGACAGAGAACGAGACATTAGAGATCACTGATTTATAGCACCTACCATTCTAGGGTCAGAGGAAAATATCAAGAAAAGTACCAGTAATAAATACTGGAATGAAATGAGCAATCTATTGTTAAGTTTTTAAAAAGTATCTACAGAATAAGCCCATTTGTCTTTAACAAGAAAAAGTGAGGGTATGTTTGTATAGAAATAGAAAAATGTCTGGAAACATGATACCAATACACAAAAGTGGTTAACTCTGAAGCACGGGATTATGAGACTTTTTACTTTCTGCTTTGTACATATTGATATCACTTGAAGTTTTAACCAAAGCAAGTATGTATTCTCATTGCTTTTTTCTGATCATAAAAGCAAGATGACAGGACAGTGTTCAATAAAGGTAGATCATTAACACCAAATACTTCTAAATACTTAGGAAAGGCCACTGGGCTCCGAATGGAACATGTTTCTCTTTATGCTTACATACATGCTTCCTTCTATGAAGTGTATTAAGTATACAGAGGGTCATAATGTAAAACATTTCTGATTACGGGTTGTGGTTTTAAAAAAACACTTCGAAAACCAAAAATATAAAAACTAGGCAAGAATCTATGTAAAAGAACATCAGAACAGCTACCACAAAACCCATGTACTTTAAACCATTGGTAAGACTATTCCCTGATACCAAGGTAGCTTTCCTGGGTCCCTAAATTTTGACTGATATCAGATCCACTTAAAAGCTTTACAACAGCTGACTGAAATCCCTACCATGAAAGATTACCTTAGTCTATTAAAAATTTTGATCAAATTTAATTAACTGGATTATCCTTAAAAGTTTAAAGTACACAATTTTTTTTTTTGTCTGCAATGTCCTCATCCATTCTGAATCAATCATGCAATTCTTTCGTTTTTTTCCTACCAGTGGAAACCTTAACTTCTCTAATACCTGTGAAAATCCTACTTTTTTTTTAAGCCTAAAACTCAAAACATAGTGTACAAAACATGGTTAAATAAATATTAAAATGTCACATATTCATATTTTTCAAATACATAAAGATGCTACTATGATGAGCAAAACCAAAGTTTTATGAAAAGCATCAATGGTTTAAATGATGCTTTCTCTTCACAGATATTAACAGTGTAAGAGTATAACTGCTATATATAATTATAGATATATCATATTACATATATGATTACTAGCATGATGTTCTAGGCCAATTCAAGTTTCTTCTGTTAGACTTCCCTTACTGTCTGTGTATTAAATGTATAAGAGCCTATCATTCTACTTTGTCAGATCCTATCATTCAGCCATATTTACTTTCTTTAAATGATATACCATATGTTGCCATCAACATTGTTCTTTTATATATTCCTTTTCACATCTGTCTTGTTTATTCATTTTTACCTGTCACAATTTATTATCTTCATAAAATATTTGATGGCTTCCAATGTTTTTGCTACTACAAACAATAAAACACTGAACATTCTGAACACTTTCCAGGCACAAGGTTTTACGCTAGAAATGAAACAAGATGAAGTTTAAATAACTGTTAAAATTCACAGGGATAATAACAGTAGTAGACTCAGGGAGGTAAACAAAGATATTCTCCAAAACTCACATCCTTAAGCACTAAATGATAAATGATAGGGTACTGCCATTGATCAATCAATTTCTAAGTCACATGGGCACCAGGTTCATTCCTTCCGAAAGTTCATTACAAAATATATAGTTTGTGCAGCTAAGTTTTAAACAGAATGTATAAGAATTTTGTTACTGTAAAAGAATATTAATCTGGAAATTTGGTTAGTCAACTCTTCATTTTCTATATACACTCAAGGTAAGGCAATAACAAGATACATATAATCTTCCAAGATTCTACAAATTTTTCACACCATTGCCAGAGGTAGGACACAATATAAAACATACTACTTGAGCACACCAGACATGAGTGATGAAAAAGAGATACAGCAAAAGTTACATACCATTTACCAATACAAATTTATAAAATTTATAATTCACAGTGAAACCCATGTCTCCTAAAGTTTCTTTCAAAGCCTACTGCTGCTCCTACCTGATATTATTCTTTCCGTGGTAATGGGCAGCTAGTCACACTACGTGATAATCATTAGTCTGAAAACAGCAGGTTGTCACACGAGTTTCAGGTTATTTTTCATAGAGAGAAAGCCTCAAGAATCTATTTTTAGTATCTCCAGAAACATTAATTAATGGCAAGTGTTAGTCGCTCAGTTTGTGTCCAACTCTTTGTGAACCCATGGACTGTAGCCCACCAGGCTCCTCCGTCCATGGGATTTTCCAGACAAGAATACTGGAGTGGGTTGCCGTTTCCTTCACCAGGGGATCTTCCCAACCCAGGGATCGAACCCAGGTCTCTCATATTGTGGGCACACTCTTTACTGTCTGAGCCAATGGCAAGAGCAGCAATAAAAAGTTAATACTGTGTGAAGATAAATGTAACAGCTAAATTAATACTCAAAGCAACTATCAATAAAGTAATGCCTGAATATACCAGTTATTGACACATGGATAGTAAGGAGTGTGGGGTGCCCTCTAGTGGCTAAATGAGGGTTAATGGCACCACCATGAACTACACTAGCTTTTAAAGAATTTTTTAGTACAGCAATCATTCTATTATTACAGAAATGACATAATTAATTACTAACTGATGGATCAATCACTTAGGTTTGGATACCATCTAAGCTCACATTAACTACTTTCAATACTGTAACCCCTCCCCCCATCACCAGCTTCTCTGTTTCTCCTCGTAGTCAGTTACTTACACTTAAGATCTGTGTCTCATTTCAAATAACACTCCTCCAACAACCACAAGAAGGCCTCTACCCTCTTCACTCCACTGAATACCAGTAACTTCCTTACTGTTAAATCAACAAACAGCATTAAATACTTGATTCTTGGTGGCATTTTAGAAACCTTCCTTCTATAAAACATTTTGTTAGATGTCTGGCTAACTTCCTCTGCTTTTCTCAGGGCCCTGTCCTAGGCACAAGTGTGCCATCCCCTGGGCAAGGCTGTTCATCTCCCTACTTCAGTCCATTTCTTACACTATGCATGCTTGGTCGCTCAGTTGTGTCTGACTCTTTGAGACCCCATGGACGGCAGCCCACCAGGCTCCTCTGTCCTTGGGGATTCTCCAAGCAAGACTACTAGAGTGTGTTGCCATGCCCTCCTCCAGGGGATCTTCCCAAGCCAGGGATCGAACCCACGTCTCCCGCACTGCAGGCAGATTCTTTACCGTCTGAGCCACCAGGAAAGCCCAAGAATACTGGAGTAGGTAGCCTATCCCTTCTCCAGGGGATCTTCCTGACTCAGGAATCAAACCAGGGTCTCCTGCATTGCAGGTGATTCTTTACCAGCTGAGCTATCAAGGAATCCCCTTCTTACACTATAGATGCCCCCCCCAATTTTTTTAAACAATAGTTTAAAACATTTTACTGCAGAAATAAAACACAAGTAAGCTGAAGGAAGATAAAATTTATAATTCCAAATTTACGATACTTAGAATCTGATGCACATTCTAAGATATAAACCTGATAACTCGCGATGTAAAACTCTCCAATGGTTATGCTTTGTCCTCAGGACAAAGAAAAATCCTAACTCCTTAACAGTGTTTACAAACATTTTCTAGCCCTCAACTCTCTAGCCAACCTCATTTTTTGAAATTCCTTATAGTCGTTTTGCTCAGTTGCCATTCCCTTGTTCTGTCCCTTATTTTCCAGACCTATGTACACATTTCTTTCTCCCTATGAAATGCTCAATCCCCAGCTTCCCTTCCACTTATCCCCATCTCCTAAGCCCACTGCTACTGCCAGAATATTTGTCTAGTTAATCCTTACTAGCTATTGACAATCCCAAATCGCTTCAATCCCAGAATAATTAAACCAAATGTGGCAATCTCATTCATCTTGCCAGTTACCGGGTAAGGAATGATGAAGCAACTTGATTCCAACAAATGAGACAAGAGTCTGCTGGACAGCTTCCAGAAAAAAGGCTTTTCTACATTGAAATACATAAAAAATTACCTTTTTTTTTTTTTTACTTTTTTGACTTTAGCTCACTCTTATTTATTTATTTTTTATTTTAATTGGAGGCTCTATTCTTATTTCTATATAAGAAATACATAAAACACAAGCAGAAACTACCTTCACTTCTTCCTTTTCAGCATACTCTGAAATGCTCAAAACTGTTGTAACCATTTTACTATCTCTGTCAAGAAAACAAATTTCCTTATTTTCTAAGCCAGTTAAATCAGACTTCTTTTGCTTATAGCTGGAAGCCTACTAACTAGTAACAGTGACTAGCTCTTCAGTTCTCACTTTAGACATCTCCTCCTCTGGGAAATATTCCCCAGCACACTGGAAACGTGCCACACACCCAATAAGTTCTCACCATATCCCGATGCTTCCCTCCGTCATGGCTGTCCCCAAAGTGTATCAGATAACGACCAATGAGCAGCTCTGCCAGCTAAACTCTAACCGCTTCGGAGCAGCACCTGTTACCTGCCTTAAGGCCATGGTCATAGCATCTAGCCTAAGAGTGCTCAAAAACATTAGGAAACTAAATTAGTAAGTAGTGTAAATGCCTACAACGCTTTATTTTTGAAACAATTCTAAATAGGAAGTTGCTAAAAGGGATGGCCAACACTCAACAAATCTTAAACCCCCTTCCTGAAGGCTTTATAAAGAATTTCACAACTTCCAGCATGTACTCACATGACTTTAGAAAAGGTCATTCATAGAAAGGAATCATACCCAGGTAAATTTGGATGATAATTATAAGGTCTGTCAACGGCATTAAGGCTTCACTGTTCACAGGATGTTCAAAGTATATTTGGCACTCAAGTTAAACTGTAGCCTGGGTGCAATCAGTGCTCTCATCAGTAAGGGACAGTGAGGAAATGGCAGCCAGTCACCAACTCCAGAGGAGCTGCCACAAATGCTTCTGTTATCCACGCCTCAGATAGACAGTCAGCACTTTTTAAACGTATATGAAAGGCCAGAAATAGGTTTTCATTGGTAGGAAGGATGGCCTGTTAACTAGTACAATGAGTATTAAAGTGTCTTTCTTTGATGAAGCTGAAGGGACACAACATGTATACGGACCAGCTAGTAACATTTAGAGATGCTTGCCACCATCTCATGAAAAAAGTATAAAAATTGTGTGAGGTCCTTAGAGATGGGAGGTCAAACCTGGATGCCTCACTCATTTTCTACTTAGACATTAGTTTAGAAGAACTTCTCTTGTTAGCACACACCAACTTTAAGATTAACAAGATTCTGTCACTGGAATGTTGCTGTGTCTTCCTTGAGTAAACCTTCATGCAATGTGTTTTGATTTAGAAACCCAGAACAGAACCTCATCAGGCTCAGAAGACAGGCATAAGTATGATTTTGTGTGCAAAACTTGGTAAGAAATTTACTTTCAAATAATATTAAGGTTGTGGGGGAAGACCTCTAGGATGGCTTTCATTGACTACTGTTATCTACCAAACTATCACTGTAGAGTGACTTAGATTGAGTTAGCTTGCAACAATTACCAATGCAAATGTACCATTGGGAAATAAATCAGCAAAAATTTTGATCAGCAATAGTTGTGACAAAACATAAATCATTTTTCTTCAGACCTTAGAAAACCTCCCAATCAATATTACAGCTCAACTGTGTATGTCATATACCAGTTTGCTCTGGTATATAACTAGCTCTGAATTTTCTCTTCCATCAGGTTGGGGAGGTGCAGAGGGAGGGCAATGGAGTTACCATTCAGAACATCTAAAATAAAACTATTTCACTGTCAAAAAAAAAGTCTTATGTATCCAAATCCTTGCTGCTTCGTACCATCAAGGACCAAGGTTGAGTGACCAAGAATACCCAAGAAAGACCCTGCTATCCCTCAGTTGTATGGTTTTGAGAAGGTTGCTGCATTTTTCCCCAACACCTCAACTTCTATAAAAAGCATTCAACTTGTACTAGTCATTGACATCAGACAGTCATGATCCATCTTACAGAACATTAAATATTAGCAAGTTTAAGTTGACCTGCAAACACATGGAACAGAAAATCAGACTGTGTGTGGTCTCTGAATATAAAAATGTACTACATATATAAGAAAGTCCATCTTTTCTTTGTTCTTTGATAACACCACACTCTGTTGTCTATCTTTATATCAGTTAATAGTGATTAATTAAAAGTGATTAACAATCATTCTTGTAAACTAAGAAACTTCAGTTTGTCAAAATAGTTTATATTTCAATTATTAGAAGAGTTCCACTTGGATGTCAGTTCCATTATACTTACTAAAGTGTATCTGGAGGACCAATAATAAGGACTTCCCATCGGTAGAGATCATTGTCATCTATTAAACCTGCTGAAAAGCCTTCCACTGGATTTTTGTTGAGTTCTGTGGAAAAAAAAAGTTTTATAAAAAAATTTAAGTACATAATCTTCACCCAACATTCATTACAGAACATTAAAAATTTTAAACTGTTAAATGAATACACCTAGACCCATTAGCAAAATGCTACCTGATGTCAAAACCTTTCCATTTCTATAACACAAGGAAGCAATGGGTAAAGCAAGCTATCCAGAAGATCAACTTCTACCTCCCTTTTACATCTACCCTGGTTTCCAGCAAGGTTCCTACCATTCTAAGTAGCTCTCTGGTGGTATATAGGTATAGTGGGACAGAGAGTTTATTAAAATGCAGTTGTCAGACTTATCACCCAGATTCTGGTTCAGAGGAAAATCAAACCAGTATTTCTGATAATTCTTATGGTATGGTATGGTCTTTAGGGTTTTGGCCTTTGAGAAATACCAATAGGGTGCCTGGTCCCTTTTCACTGGAATTTGCTATATAACCAATCTCAATTTATACTAGTAACTATGTATCTGCATGACTAAGTCCTCTGCATTCTTGGGGATACATGTCTATGGCGGGTGTCCATGTGTGGCCCAACAGACTCTGTGAGTACACAAAGAGGACAGATTCCATCTGTCCTGCCTATGTATGTTGAACCTTCTGCTGGCCACAGTTTCCAGCATCCAGGAATGGCTTAAGAATAATAGCTGGAGCCTACAGGAACACTAGCAACATGAGATTCTCCTCTTCCAGAGAGAGTGCTCCAGCATGGATAATGATGGGGGCTGGGGATAAGAACAAAGGCAAAGAACTAGTGAGGTGGGGGGACTCAGGCCATGAGGGCCCCTAAGAGGAGCAAGTGAGAAAGAGAGCAAAGTCTGAACAGTTCCTGGAGACACAGGGCTTAATAAATTAATGACCCGTCGACGGTGGGCATCATGTCAGGATTTTTAAAAAAGCTTTAACGAGATATAATTGACATTCAGTAAATTGTAGGTATTTAAATTATATCATTTCTTACACATTGATGTATGTACATGGCTGTGAGGTCATCACCACTGTCATGATTGAGAGTGTGTTGTGTATAAATACATGAATCACCAACAAGAGGCACTGCTTGGCCCAGACTGAGAAGAGGGGACAAAGCACAGAGGACAGTGGCTGAGCGCGGCTGCGCGGCAGCTGAGCAGGTCTGTGACTCTCACCTAACTCCTGCCATCGTCCTCAAGGCGTTTGGGCCCATGATAAGTAAGTGCAACGCAACTCACAGTGCTACAGAAGACTGAACAAAGTGTGTTATTAACTGAGAAGAAAATATTTAATTTTTTGAGGAATCAGAGGTGTTTATTTCAACAACTAAGATTTAACACCCCAACATGCCAGTGAAACCCAGAGAGAGCCAAAAGTCAAAGTTTATTTATATTTAAACATGAATGGCTTCTTTTCTCAAAATTTGAGGGAAGTTCTTTTTTTTAAATATCTAAGTCTAATATTTTTGCCTAACTGGCAAAGCAGACTTTTATAAAAAGTTTTAAATCAGTACCGTGTTGCAAAATATAATAAATGCAGTTTTACCTTTAAACAGCCATTCTAAGACATTCTTTAAATACTGAAAATGCAAAGAAGTTGTATTTCAATCTGGTTATTTTGTTTATGAATGCAAACATTCACTGAGTGTCAATATGCTGCAGACATTCTGGAAAAGATCTGCAAGTCCCACTTTTACTGTCAATTGAGGGGCGAGTAGAGCATAGACAATCACAATCTGGACAGGTAATTTCTACACTGAGTTATCTCATTTCTAACCTTTCTCTGGACAAACACTAGTATATTACTCAGACCATTTTCTCCAACAATAGCTGTAAGAGTCTTGCAGAAGATTTTTATAATTTATCTAGAAACCACCTAGTTATTGAATCTTGCATTAGAAGTCCAGTGAAATTTTATAAACATAGGTGGGTAAATTCTTAAATTGGCATATATGGTCAAAACTACCCTTGAAAAATTCCTTACACTTTCCATAAAGTATATTATTATATATTTATTTACATAAAGTATATATATATCATGTATTTCATCAATACACAAATTCCATAAAAATCGTTTACATGTTCTTTGCATTCTTCTCTTCTACAGGAGTGACTGTAGTCTGCTTGTTTCATTAAGTAATGCAAAAGTAATGCTGAAAGATGTCCATCCATCTTGGTTTTGTCATGGTTTTTGCCCCTAGCATGGCTCCTCAGAGCCTAGATCCATGGGCATTTAACAGATTTAATCTACCTATAGAGGCCAACCATTATCATACTTTTCATGAACGCTTCCTTCAAGGTCCAATTCAAGTACCATATTCCTCCTCCAGGAAGCCTTCCTTAAATAACTTACCAAATAATCTTGTCTTCTACTAAATTCCTATTAATCATACTTTTAGACTGTACTGCATCCCCTGGCACTTGACTATTAGCTCCCGACTCTCACAGAAGTAAAAAGGCGATTACAATGTATGTTAAATGGCCCGACATTGGTGCAGGAATTTGGAGGGGCACAAAGAAGAGCACAATGTAATCAGAAAGAGACGAAAAGGCCTCTAAAAAGAGAAGAGAGATCTGAAATAAGACAAAGGATTTGGGTGGAGTAAGTGCAAGGCTTAGACAGGAGAACACATACTACAAAACTCTGAAATATGGAGATCAGTATGGCGGCAGAGGGGTACCACACACCATGGAGCTGAAGCTAGACAGATATGTCAGGAGGACAGCAAAGGGCCTTTATAAGCCGTGTTAGTTTAGATTTGATGCAGAGAACAATTTTTGTTTGCGTTTTATTTTGCTTTGTTTTGAAAACAAAGAGGTCATCTCATGAAATTTACATTTTCAAAAACCAATCTCTCAGAATGTGAAAAGTATGTGATAGAGTAAGGCCATGTGATGACAAAGAAGCCAAAAAAGGAAAGGAAGCTATTAAAGTAATTCTGTAAAGTGTATCTTCAGTATATAGTAGTGGGAATAATGATGGAAAACATGGATACATAGGAGGTAGAATCAATCAACCAAGATTGGTGATATAGGGAGTTTAAAAAGTCAATAACAATACATAACTCCTCAAAAAGTTTATAAGCATAGTTACCATATAACCCAGTAATTACACTTCTAGGTATAACCCCAAGAGAAATGAAAACGTTCATCCACATAGGAATTTATACTCAAATGTTTATACTTCAGCATAGTCAAAAAGTAGAATCCAAATGTCCATCAATAAACGAATAAACAAAATATAACATATACATACAATTGAATATAATTGAGCCATAAGCCATGCTACAACAAGCTAGAACTTCGATTGTGGCATGTTGGTTCTCAATGAACTTCAAGAACATCAAGCTAAGCGAAAGAAACCAGACACAAGGCTGCATACCGTATGATTCCTTTCATATCTACAAATCCAGAGACAAAAAGCAAAGTGGGGGTGGGGGGCCGTGGGTGCAAATACTTAATGAGTCTGGGAGTTTTTGCGGGGTGATGAAAGTGTTTTGAAACTGAAGAGTGTAACAGTGGTTGCACAACACTGTGAATACCATTGAACTGTACACTTTAAAATGGCTAGTTTTATGTTATCTGAGTTTCAACTCAATTTTTTAAAATGACAAATAGGTTTCTATGCAGAGAAACTGGGTAGGAGTCTATTCTTTTTCTGAAATGGGAATTATAATAAAGATGTGCTGATTTTAGAGGGAGGGAAAGAAATGATAGGTTTGGCTTTATGTACCTATGGGACATAAATACATTGTTTCCAAAAGAAATTTCAGCTAGAAACCTGGGGGTTATCAGAATACTGCTGATAACTGAAGCCGTAAGACTGATGGTATCACCCAAGGATGAGCCTAAGTGTGAACTGTGGAGAATCTAACTGAAGGAATTCTAGAGAATACCAATATCAGGGGGATTAAAAAAGAAACGGCTACAAATATGACAGACATAGGAAGAAAACCAGGAAAAAGCTAGATCAAAGAAGCCAAAGAAGATGTGTTCCAAGGAGAAAGTTGCCAAAATAAATGCACACTGTTTAGGAAAGAGGAGGCCTAAATTCAGTCTACTGGGTTCAGTTCAAAGAATGGCAAAGCTGCCCTGGGCATAGGTAATTTCGGTGTAATTGCAAAGCCATGCAGATAACACTCAATCGACAAAAAGAAAGTGAAGTAAAAAATACAGGTGGAAATTTTCTCTAGAAGTTTATGATGAAAAGTGTAGTAGCCATATGTAGATGAAATTCCAGCAAAATTCCATTTTTAAATCCCCTTTTTAATGGGAAAGGCCGACGACAGAAAGATGTTTAAATAGCCTACTACATTTAAATGCTAACAGAGATACCTCATACTGTATTTGAATACAAGTACAAATAAATAAAAGTCAGCTGAAAAAAAAAGATGCAGATTTATTTTTTAACATACTTTTAGTTGGAGGTGGCATTCCTAAGCAGAACACAAAACTCAACAGTCAGAACATACTACACAAGGTATTTTAAATTCACTAGAGCAATTAAGTTCAAATACAAATAAGAGACTGGGAGAGAATATTTACAGCACAATATGTAAAAGTCTAATATCCCTAATACAAAGAGATTTCCTGTTAATCAAAAGAAAGGGGAAACATGCAAAGAGTAAAAATACAATGAGGGGAAATGGAAATTGCTAACATACACAAAAATCTGGCCTGCTTAAGACAAATATTTAAACCAAGAACTGTATATGCCTGGGTTTCTACTTAGATTCCTAAGATATTACAGAGAAGTTCTGAATGTGAAAAAGATAATGTTACTTTTTTCCTGGATGCTACCTGGACATGAGTAAAATTGGAAACAGCTAGAAAGAGCTCTCTTTTTCTCATATCACGAATGCTCAGACAAAGTTTTAAAGTTCTAAAGCAGACAAAACTAATCAGTAACATTAGAAATCAGGACAACAGTCACCTTTTCTTCTTTTTCTTTCAATGGGGAATGAGTGGTATATGGAAGAAAGGAAGAAAGAGGTTCTGGGATGCTAGTAATGG